TTTTTAATTTACGTATATATATATAATTTTAGAAAAATATGAAATCAAACTGACCTCATATTTTCCATAGTTTAAATGAAAGAGCACTCAACCTCAAATCCTGTATCTATCCCTAAACACAAGATTTGAGGGTGAGGCTCGATCAAATAAACTAAGAAAGATATGACATCCGTTTGGGTCTGCGAAACCGTTTTATTTGCCGACAAGTTCCCCTATTTAATACAAAACATTCAATAGGGTTTATTTTAAGCTGGGTTCGGAAAAGCTCCCTATAAGGGCAAGCCCCTATAGTTAATTACATCTTAAATGACCAAAGTCACCTAAGAAAACTCTCGATAAAAATCAGGGAATAATGTCTTCAAAGAGGTCAAAAGGATAGGACTTTACAACGAAATCGTACAAAGAGGTGTGAAGGGGGAAAGGCTCAAATCTGGAACATTGTTGAGGAATCCAAAATGAAGAGAAACTAGAGGAGGTCACAGATGCTGAGGAGAACCTCAATGACTTCCCAGTCTATCCTATGGTTTGGCTCCAATTTTAGGAAGAAAATATCAAAGTGTTTTATCCCGCCAATTTTATTTAATTAGGGCTTTTATTTGCGTGACATCACACAAATTGCCTAGAAGATATGAGGGTTTACGTCGTATCGGACGACAACCTTGGAACCTAGAACGAGTTTAGGGCTTAAATCGTACGGCAGAGCTATACGAATGCCTAAAGAAAAAGGTGGAGGATTTATGTTGCGCTAGGCAAACAATCTCGAAAACTTATGGATTGTTGTTTAATTTCTAGGAAAAAGAAAAGGTTTTGCTGGGGAAGACATGTTCTGTTGTTTGAAGATGGTCGTGCTGCCCACCGCGCTAGCTCCAAGCTCCTCGACGTGACGAGTTTAAGTTTTCTAGGGTGTCCGGTTATATTATCAAATCAAACGACCCTATGGTTGTAGTCCTCTAAACATCTTATGTAAAAAAAAAGGGTAAACATGTTTAAAGTTGTAAAGATGTAAAGCGTGCAATACATGAATGAACAGTAGCATGCAAGTGGAGCAGTAGTAAGTAAAACAGGAGCAGTACAACATGCTATACATGAAAGACAGTAGCAGGTAGAAACATGACAAGTGTAACATGCTGTACATGGAGAACAGTAGCAAGTAGGAACAAGAGTAATATGCTACACAGGAAGAGCAGTAGCAAGTAGAAACAGGAAAATTAAGTACTGTAAAATATAAAGCAAACATGTATGCCTGTGAAATCCGCT